CCACCCCACGCAGCAGAGGCCCCCTGCTTCTGTCCTACTGAGGCAAGACAGATGGTGAAATAATGGTGACTTGTGAGGACAGTGTGTAAGTTAGGGCCATGCTGTGTGCTCTAGGCTGAAAATCTACCAGAAATTTGGTAAAATTGGTGTCTGGGGAAGCCAGGAATGGCGGCGGGTAGGTGGCAGTTCTTGGCTGAGCAGGCGTTAGCATTAGCAGGTGTTAGCAGGCCAGGTGCGGGATGGCCTCCATGAGCCTCAGCCCGCACCTGATGAGCAGCACCTGCGCATCTCAGGTAACTGATAAATACTTGTTGAGTGAATGAAAAGGGGTTGAGGATGGGCGGGGACACCACAGAGTCCAAAGGTTGGAGGTGGCTGTGAGGATGGGGGGCGGTTCTCAGAGTCACTGGCCTGAGCAGGACCTGGAGGGCAGATAAGACCATGCAGACTCCTCTTCTGCTTCCCTCCACCTGTAGACAACGCCAGGCCTCCCCTGCATCTGCATCTCACTCTGTGACCTTAATCAAGTTCCTGTCCTGAGAAAAGGGGCTCAGTGAGCACTGAGGCCCCTTTAGGCTCTGGCTGCCAGGGGTGGGAGGGGATGTGGTACACTGGCCGTAGCAAAGACGCAAAACCAGGCCCATCTTCCCATCCGCATATGTCTAACATCATCCAGGACACCTGACTGTAACCTGGGGCTGGATTTCAGAATTAACGCTTTTCAGTCCTGGGCAGTGACTCACTAAAGCCTGTGTTCTCATCTTTGTCAATATTGGCATCACGTTGGGCTTAATGAAGGAGAGAACATGCCTTCCTTCTGGGCGACCTCTCGGGCGAGAACTTTTGCTGCCATCAGATCATTTATGGGTGGGGGGTGGGGAGTGGGGGCTGGTTACCGCCAGAGACATTCTGCCACTGGGAGTTCCTTGAGGGCGAATTCGCCTCTGCACCCCCCAGTGTATAGCATATGGCGTTGCTCACAGCAGGTGATCAATAAACATTTGGTGAGGCAGCAACAGGAATAGTCTCTGCCCTAAGGAAGCTTTTAGCCCAGTGGCAAAGGCATGGTCAACCGACTGGCCTCCAGAGTGCACAAGCCCCCCCAGGGTTTGTTAGCAAATGAATAAAGTGGCATTAATCACCCAACAGTGAGTCTCACTATAACTACTACTATGTCTTGAGCACCTACTAGGTACCAGGGACTAAACTAAGCACTTTCCCTACTTTACCTCATTAGATTTCCAGAACCACCTGATGAGGTCAGTACTGTTATCAACCCCATTCTATGACAAGAAAGCTAAAGTCACACATCTAGGAAGTGGGAGCACCAGGACTCGATCTCAGGCCTGCCTGGTGAGCGTCCCTGCTCTTTCCCACCCCCACCTGTCTCCAAGCTGCTGTGCGGGGCCCACTCTGTGCCCAGCCTTGTGCTTCCTGCTAGAGAAGTATGCAGGACGGACAGCCTGGCCAGACAAGCACACAAGACACTTAGAAGATAAAATGGTCTGTGACCCCGATCCTGATTGCGAAGGACAGACAGGCCTACGAGAGAAAATCCATGATAGTGGGAGGGAAGTGAAGGAGAAGTGCTGGGTCTGACCTCCCAGGCAGCAGACTTTCTCCATGTTTGAACTGGGGAAATGAGGCTGAGGAAGACTAGTAAGAGTCTCAACATGGCTTTGTCCAGCTCCAAAGCCTTTCCTCTTCCCTGTTCTACATCATCTCTTAAATCCAGAGAGGCTTCCGGGAGGTGATAGGACCAGGACTCGGGACAGGTTGATTTCAAGAAAAGGTGAGCTTTTGCAGATGAGAGAGCAGAGGAAACTGGAAAGACAAGCTGGGGACAGGGATGGGGAGAGAAGGGGATAATGTCTTTCTGAGGCCAGTGCCTGTCCTGCCCGCCTCCCTAGGACTCCCACTGAATCTGCTTTGGAAATATGTGAGGTACGCTGGGCATGGCATTTCCACCAGGACACCAGCCTGGTACCAGGGCATCACCATGTCCATGGCTTCTTTTCCAGCCCAACTCAGCCTCATCTGGTTCTCCAAACACTCCTTCCTGCTAGAATGTCTTTCCTTCTAACTTCTGGGAGAGACATCGCATGTGACGTCTTGGCCACAGGCTGGCGGAGGGACCCCAGACAAGCCACTGAGCCTTGCTTTTTCCTCCATAGAGCAGAGCTGGAGCCAGCTGGTTAAGGTTGTTGTGAGCCTTAGGCAGCCCACACAAAGGCCCCGGCGCCCTCAGAAAGGGGAGCTATTGCTGGATCCACAAGACAACTCTGAATTCCCAGCCCCAGGCTGCTTAGCACCTTGGAAAAGATGGCACTGAGGTGGCACCCAGAGGACACACAGGATGTAGACCCGTGGAGTTGGCAAAGAGGTGCCCTGGGAAGGAGAAAAGGCAGGAAGAAAGGAGCCGGGTGTGGGATGGGCAGATGGCTGTATGGAAAAGGCAGAAGGTTGCAGGGCGGCTGCTGGCACCTTAGAATCCTGCTTTACCCTGGGCCGGCTCTGCTGTCCCAGAAGGACAAAGCCAGGACTGTCTTTCTCCCGCGGCTGGAACAGGCACACGCTGCCCAGGGAGCAGTTATCTACCGCGTGGCTGGGGAACTCCCTTCTGCTGCACTCGCGGGCGCACCGCAATCCTTTCTCTCTCAGCAGTCGCTGCCAGGTGCCCCACTAGGAAGCAAGGCTCCAGTCTGGCACCCAGGCAGAGGGAAGGAGCCAGGAGGGGCCGCAGCACTAGAGTCAAAGGGCTGGGACCCAGAGGCAGTTAGAAAAAGCTGCAGGGGCCAGTGCCTTCGGTTTAGGGGCATGGTGGCTTGGCCACATTCTCCAGGCCTTCTGGGGCCTCCTGTGCTGAGCACAAAGGCCAGCTGCTCACCACCCCCCAGTAAAGAACCCACAGAAGGACCTGGGTTTGTCCTACAGCATGTGAGATTTAGGGTAGACCTGAGGAAGTCCTTCTTGGCTTCACACATGGGAGGTGGGAAGAGAGTGGCTGATGTATATTCCGGGTGGCTCCGGCTGTGAAGCAGGATTATCAAGGTTGGAAGCTCTGGAGCCTGAGTCCCAATTTCGGTTCCACCACTTCCCAGCTGGGTCTTGTTGGACAACTTGCTTCACCACTCAGTGCCTCAGTTTCCTCAACTGTAAAATGAGGGTTAAAAGTCTCCACTTCAGCCCTGACCAGTTTGGCTCAGTGGTTGGAGTGTCGGCCCAAGGGCTGAAGGGCGGGTTTGATTCCTGGTCAAGGGCACGTGCCTGGGTTGCAGGTTCCATCCATAGCCTCAGTTGGGGTGCGAGCAGGGGGCAACCAGTCAATGTGTCTCTTTCACATCTCACATCTCTCTTTCTCCCCCCTTCCCTGCCTCTCTCCTTTCCACTCTCTCTAAAAATTAATGGAAAAAATATCCTCAGGTAAGGATTAACAAAATAAAAAGTCATGCGGGTGTTAGGAGTATATAAATTCCGTGAAGCACTTAGACGGGGCCCAGCACAGAGAAGGGTCTATAAGCTGTAGCTCTACTTACCATCTTCCTCCCAGGATCTCTTCCTCAGGCACACTCCCAAGCTGAGAAAACCGAGCGTCCTTGTTCCGAGGCTAGGGCAAGGGGGACCCAGAGTCCTGGCTGATGGGTGTTGATTGGGAAATGAGGCAGAGGTCTCCCCGGGCAACCTCATAGGGCGCCCTGCACCCCAGGGCCACGAGCACTCAAGGGAGGAGGTGAGGCGAGGGCTTGGGGTGGGCTGGGGCTGCCTGAGAGCCTGGAGAAGCAAGGGAGAAAGGACCATGCTGGGCCAAGAGCTGGGGCCCATGGCCCTATCTCCTGCTTTCCCTTCCCCCTTGGTCTTTGGGGCAAAGAATTGTGCTGGTTCAGGCCTGGAAATACCAGAAATACCAGAAACTAAAGTCGTCTCTCTTTGGGCGGCCACAGCACAAAACCAACCAACATGATCCTGCTATTAACCTCGATTAACTTGGAGAGGATTCCATCTCAGGCTGTCGAGGCCCCCGTGGCCCCAGCCAAGGCCCCTGATGCCAGCCCAAAATGGCCAGGGTAGGGCAGAGGGTGGGCAGTGGAGAGTGGGTGCTGGGCAGTATCCCCAGTTCAAGGGCCGAGCCAAAAGCAAGGCATCCCGAGCCACCAGGGCCTGAGCTGCCCCCACCCCAGCCCCGCTTTTTCTGCTGCCTGTCCTTAGACACGGGCACAGAGGAGGTGATTGTTTCCGTCTGACCACGGCGACTGCTCCCCAGGGCAGCCGAGAGCACAGGCCTGGGTGTCGCAGAGGTAATTGCCAACCACGGGGCCAAAACCTGCCCCCTCCACTCCTGCGGACACAGACGCTCCAGCAAGAGACAGAAGGACAGTCACGGGCACACAGAGGCCCTCACAGGGCCCAGGAGAGGAGCAGAGCCTGTCTGGTCACACTCCCGGCCAGCCATGCACACACGCACCACACTTGCACTACACACACACAGACACACTCCCTCCCACCACCCACACCCCCAGAAAGAGACTCCACAGAAGCTACACCCCCCGAGGCACAGTTCCTAAGAGGATAAAAACACCCATTCAGGCAGGGGGCGAGGGCAGACACCGAAATAGAACCACTGAGAAGTCCTGGGCGGAAGGGAAAGAACAAGCACAGAGGCGGACAGACCTGTGTCTGAGTCCTGGTTCTATCACTTCCTGGCTGGGTGACTGGGACCAAATCACTTCCCCTCCCCAAACCTGTGCTGCGCCATCTGTGAAATGGGCACAGATAAAGCTCCCGGTGGCAGAGGGCATGCCCTCATCAGCAGTGATGGAGGTGAACAGTAGAAGCCACTGTGATTACAATTTACACTTAAAGAGATAAAGAAGCAAAACAATCTCAGCAATGAGCCTGGCCTGAGCAGGAAGGGCTGAGGCAGGATCCTGAGGGGGGACGCCTCAGAGCCCAGGGGGAGGCTAGGAAATAGGGACAAAAAGAACACAGGTTTTAGAGAAAGCCAGGAGGGCTGGCAGTGCAGCCTGCTACTTCACAGCTCTGCAGCCTCGGCAAGTCATTCATTCACCTCTCTGAGCCTATCTTCTCTCTCGCAAACGACGTGAACATCACTAGCCTTCTGGAAGGGGTTTTAAGAACAGTAACCCCACAGAAGCTATAAGCAATGGCGCTGTCTGCCTGCTCAACCATGTACCGTGTGACCAGGGACAAGTTGACTGATCTCTCTGTAAAATGGGATGATGACAGTACTGACCTCATGGGCGCTGTGAGGATGAATGCTTGGCACGTGTCACATCGAGCAGTGCCTAGCACGTAAGTGTCCTTGGCATCCGCATGGTGAGAATAATCACCGACAGTGGCACTCCTGGCCTGTGGGAGTTAGATCTCTCATGGGCCTCCATCATTCAGGTCCCATATACCCCTCACCTCTGAAAAGGAGGGTGCAGGGAGGAGCACTGGGACCCAGCCCTGCCCTCCCTCTGCCTCCCACAGGGACTCGGGAGGCGGCCTTCGTGTACGCCATCTCTTCAGCAGGTGTGGCCTTCGCGGTGACGCGGGCGTGCAGCAGTGGGGAGCTGGAAAAGTGCGGCTGTGACCGGACAGTGCACGGGGTCAGCCCCCAGGGTAAGTACCGGGGGTGGGGAGGCATGAGTGGGAGAGCAGGGGAATGGGCCGTCACTCACCCGTGGCCCCTTCTGCCCACCGCGCCCCAGGCTTCCAGTGGTCAGGATGCTCGGACAACATTGCCTATGGCGTGGCCTTCTCACAGTCATTTGTGGATGTGCGGGAGAGAAGCAAGGGGGCCTCATCCAGCCGGGCCCTCATGAACCTCCACAACAATGAGGCTGGCAGGAAGGTAATGTGGCATTTCTTCTGCCCCCATCACCACTGGGGCATGGGGCTCGGGAAAGTGTCTAAAACACTCTCTCACCCACATGCCACTCAGAAAACAGGCTCCCACCAGCACCAGGCACCTCCCGGAGCGGCAGGGTGGGGAACAGACAGGGAGAAGGCATCACAGAGCAATGCGAGTGGCCCCCCTGCACAGCACACACATCCCCCCACATGCCCCACCCATGTTAATGCACATAGGTGTGCATCTCCATCCCTCTGTCACACATACACACCCAACAGGTAGCACAGCTAGGATTTGAACCCTGTGCCACAGCAAAGGTCACGTGCTTATCTCTGATACCATCTGCCTTCCCGATGCCTACTCATCAAGGTTCCTGTGCAGATTCAATGCAACCGTGTTCTTCCCCATCATGTATGTCACTTGTCACTCACTGTTTCATGACACTGCCCTTTAAAATGTCTCTCCCCTGGCACTATAAGTGCCCCAGGGGCAGGGACAGTATCTTCTTCAACTGTCCCCAACACAGCTTACCAGCCCACCATGGATACAGTAGGTGCTTAATACAGAGGAAGCATGACAGTGCATCTTTCTCAGATCCTGTGGCATTCCACCCCAGCTATGCCCCCGCTGTCTGCCGTCCAGTCACCCCTCCCCAGCCTCTCCTGACATCTCCTGATGGTCTCTCCCCTCTGTGTTCCCTGCAGGCCATCCTGACACACATGCGGGTGGAGTGTAAGTGCCATGGGGTATCAGGCTCCTGCGAGGTCAAGACGTGCTGGCGAGCCGTGCCACCCTTCCGCCAAGTGGGCCATGCACTGAAAGAGAAGTTCGATGGTGCCACCGAGGTGGAGCCACGCCGTGTGGGCTCCTCCAGGGCGCTGGTGCCACGCAACGCACAGTTCAAGCCGCACACAGATGAGGACCTGGTGTACTTGGAGCCCAGCCCAGATTTCTGCGAGCAGGACATGCGCAGCGGTGTGCTGGGCACCAGGGGCCGCACGTGCAACAAGACGTCCAAGGCCATCGACGGCTGTGAGCTGCTGTGCTGTGGCCGCGGCTTCCACACAGCACAGGTGGAGCTGGCCGAGCGCTGCAGCTGCAAATTCCACTGGTGCTGCTTCGTCAAGTGCCGGCAGTGCCAGCGGCTGGTGGAGCTGCACACGTGCCGGTGACTGCCGCCCCGCCCACGCCAGCAACCACCTAGTGGCCCGGGAAGGCCGATAATTTAAAGTCCCCCACCACCTACCCCAAAAGATACTGGTTATATTTTTTTGTTTTGGTTTGGTTTTTGGGTCCTCATGTTATTTATTACTGAAACCAGGCAGGCGACCCCAAGGGCACCAACTGGGGTCTCCCTGAAGCCTGGGCCTTTGTGGCTGCCACTGACCAAAGGGACCTTGCTCATGCTTCCAGCTGTCCACATGTGGCTGCTGCTGACCACTCAGTTGTTATCTGTATCCGTTTTTCTACTTGTAGACTTAAAGTGGGTAACAGGAGTGTTACAGACACGTGCCTACTGACCCTGCCATTTAGGGAAAGAGGTGGCCCTATGGCAGGGGGAAATCGGTGCCATTTTGCTGGAAGTTGCACCCCCACACATACACATGGCCCCCTGGCAGCTTCAGCCTGGTAGCCTTGTCTTTTCAAGCCCCCTGGAAAGGGAATGGGCAGATACCAGGTCAAGCGTAAAGGGTTAATTTCAGCCCTCCATGAGCAGCTAGAGGTTCAATTTCTGTGGGACCTTCCAGGAAGGAAGAGCAGGTGAGATGAGGGCAAGAGAAGGCTACAGTGCCACCCTAGAGCCTATCCTGCCTGGAAAACCCCCTCAGAGAGGGAAAACCCCCACTCCTTGGTCCCTTCCAGGCAGGAGTATAGCCTGCCATCCTGGATCAGAGATCTCAGCAGGGCCTTTGCAGTGGCACCCCCCTGTGAGTCTCCTCACAGTGCTGCTCCTCCGTGGAACTGAGAATGGAAATCTCTCACACACATAGAGAGCAAAGAGCCCTGTAAAAAAGCCCTCTCCCAACCATTATTTCCTTCAACCAAACTTACTGAGCAAATACTACGTCTAGGCCCTGTACTGGGCCACCTCACTGGATGATCAGAAGACAGGGATGCTCATGCCCATTTTACAGCAGAGAGGGCAGTGCCCAGCCGGTACCAGAGCAAACAAGATGCAGAGCGAGAGCCACAAGAGCCATCCAGCCAAGGCTCCTCCTGGGGTACTGCACCCAAAGGCCCAGAAACTGCAGGTCTTCTTGGGTCTGAGCTTTGGGGAAGGGGCTGTGGTTGGAGGAAGAGGGGCCGCAAGGCAGTTGGTGGCATAGACCACAGGCTGAGCTAGAGTCCACATGGTTCCTGAGGGCAGAGCAGGCTCTGAGGGACAAGGTGGACAGATGTAAGGCACTACTGTCCCCGGGTACCACTGGTACTGACGAGTCCCCCCAAGACAGCACCAGCAGCCCGGGCCTGGCCCTGCAATCCAGCCAAACCATCAGAAGTCCAATACAAACTTCTGAGAGCAAGACAAGCACACAGCAAGACCTAGCCTGACCCAACTGCTTCTAGGGTAGGCTCCCAACCACCAAAGGAAGTCGCTGCCAGCCCAGTCTCCAGGCTTCCCCCACATTAGGGATCTAGGCTCCTTGTTTGAGGTCTTGAGCTCTGGGATCCCCATTGGAGGTTCTCAGACCCCAAGCTCTTGGCTCCAGGGTTCAACATCTGAATCAAAGTTCCAGATTCAGAATATAGGCTCTGGACTGTAGAAGCTCTCCAGGCCTTGTGGTTTGTGCCTCCTGATGTTGGCTCCCTCAAGAAGAGGTCAACACTCTTGGCCTCCAGCCAAGCTCTCTGCTCAATGTCCATCCAAGAAGGCCAAAACCAAGCGAGATGCTGGAGCCACATTCACATGTGGGGATAATCTTGGGGCAGGCAGGCTCTGATGTGGATGAAAGCTGAGCCGACTATGTCCCCACAGCTGCCCAGCTGGGCTCGCTGCTCCTCTGGCGGGCTCTGGTCAGCTGTCTGCTCAGTGCCAGGGAAAATACTATCCCTCACTGGCAGAGGCCAGGCCCAGACAAAAGAAACAGTAGGGACCCCTCCTCCTCCAGAGATAGGGCTGAGCCACTCTCCCCCACCCCTAAGTCCTATCCCCAGAGCCAGAGGAAAAGTAGGTCCAGGCTGAATGCTGGGCACTGCCCCAGGAAGAAGGGAGAGGGTCTGTGCCCATTCACGGGCTTTGCCTTTCCACCTGCCAGGGGGCTCCTTAAAGCTGATCCTCCTGGGGCTCTGAAGGGTGTACTTTGGTGAAGCTGACTAGGTTCTAAGAGCCTCTGCCCAGCCTGACCATCACCATCACCAGCACCCCGAATGCCAAAGGGATCCTCAGCCACAGGAAAATGGAGCTTCCTTGGACACGCCCTCCTCCAAACTGTCCCAAAGAGGAAGAACCAGCACAGGCCTGACATAGCCCACCCACTCTGGAAGCTGGCCAGAGGGTCCAAGTCCTGCCCCAAACCTTCACTAAACTTGCCACAGGCAAAGGTGATGTCCTCCAAGGTCTCGGGCTGGATGAGCCCCGGCTCTGGATGCTGCTGCCCCTCTGCTGCCCCATCCCATCCTCCAATTTTTATACTAGGCTCCTTGCCATTGTGACATCCCCATGAAATAGTCTGATGCACGATAAAATGATTATTTCTTTATCTTGCAATGTGGTAGTGACTTTTTTGCAGAAGAGGGAGAAGAGAGACTTGGGAAAGGATGTGAGAAAAGCAAATAAATAGTAGCAATCTCTAGATATGGGCATCCTGTTTGCCCTCTTTCCTTATAAATAACTGGTTTGATGGCCACGAGTAAGGACCCACTGGTAGGCTGTGTGGAAGTCACTTTTAACACAGAGGCCATATTTGCATTTCACTGAGCCATGATCAAATATTTAAACCCTGGCCTGAGCCAAGGCCTCAGAGCCCTTCTTGAGTGTTGATATGCTGAGGAGGGACAAACACAATGACAGGGAAGGGTCTGGTGAAGCGGGTGCCAATTGAGGAGATGGGGGACAAATGGAAAGAACTTAGTTCCTGTCAAGGACACAGGGATTCAAAGCCTGTGGCTGGAAGTAAACTCCAGGATTGGAGCCCAGTCAAAATGGGGTGTCTGGATAGGAGATACCGTATAACTCAAGTCACAGGTGATGGGGAAACCCAAGGTGGCCTCTGAGGAACCCCACTCTAGTGAAATCCTCATCAAGGGGGACATGGCCTGAATCCCCACCTACCACCCCCACTGTAGCAAATTCACATCAGCCTGAAAATGGGTTGGAAACTGCTTGGCTTTCCAGAAGTTTAGTGGGAAATAAAAGGGCTGATGCAAAGTGCTTTCAGGACAGCAGTACACAAATTTGTGAAGAATTAGGACAGGAAGAATGGAGGGAGGGGATGGGATCTAGACTACGCGTGGGTAGAAAAGGACACCTCATCCTCAAATGAGGGTCAAGGCACAGAGGAGGGGACTGGTAATACAGAGTCCAAGATGGCAGAGAGAAGAGATGAAGGAGTCCATTCCCAACCATTTTTCAGAACTGGGAGAAGGACCTGAGCTTTGCAATCAAGCCAGGGTTGGAATCCTTTTGCTATGGGGAACCTTGGACAACTCATTGCCCCTCTCTGGAATTCATTTTCTTCATTCATAATAAGCAAGGCAATGGCAAAGCTGCCCCTAGGCACCAACAGAAGAAGCTCCCCTTGCACCAATTCCAAGTGGGGCTAAATAATAATAGAACCTATTTATTGGGGATGTTAAATAAAATAACACATGTAAAGCTCAACAAATGGCAGCTATGATAAATATTAGTATTATTCCCTTTACAAGAGTATAGGAGGCAGTTAAAGTAGCTCTAAGATTGACGGGGCCAGAAAGGGGAATAAAACAAGGAGGAAAGCAAAGATAGTGGAGGACTGGGTAAGAGCTAAAGTCAAGTACCCCAAGACGTGGGCCTCCTTTGGCCTTAGCCCAGAGATCAGAAACAGATAGAAGTCTCAGGGCAGAGATGCCCAGGCTGGAGACAGACAGAGAATCTCAAGGGTGGGATACCCAGGCAGCAGAAAGCAAGGCAATGTCAAAGCTGCCCCTAGGCACCAATAGAAGCTGAACCAAGGTCCCAATGTGGGCAAGAAGCAGGGTTAGGACAGGGAGCAGGGGCCAAGGAGGGCACAGTCAGAACTGGAGGTGGGAGAGTGAGACCTGTAGGAAGCATATCTTGTAGGGCCAAGGGGCTCCGCCTGTAAAAATGGAAAGTTTTCAGGAATCCCAGGCTGCGTGGGTCAGCTCAGAGTGTCTGTGTGCAGATCTATCCTTGACAGCTGCCCTCAGAGCTCAGGTCTTAGGTGCCTGGGTGGGTTGTGAAACCCCATGATAAAGCAGACCTCCTTCTCAACCCCTTCCTAACAACCAGTGGTCCAAGGGAAGTCTAGGGAGACCAGAGGCAAGGTTTATGGTGGATCTTGGGCCAAGGAAGGACTAGGGAACACAGCAAGGATGTAAAAGGAAGTCTAGGGTCTGCACAACTTCGAGGAGCTAAGACAGGCTGAGGAATGGAGTGAGGAAGCAACAGGGGTGGGAGGACAGACATAGATCAGAGAGAGAAGAAGGCACAAGAAGAAAGGGAGGGAGGCACTGAGGAACTGGAGGGCATCTGGGCAGAGGAGCCCAGCAGCTTCCCAGTAAGAGGAGAAAGTGCTGAGCTTCAGGAGAAGGCGTCTGACTCCAGAAGGGGGGTGTGAGGGGATGTCTAAGGGATGTGGGGGAGGGGGAGATGTGTGGCCTGGCCTGGCCCAGGCAATGACTTCATAGGCATCTCCCCCCACTCCTTCCTGAGCAGCCAGCCCTAGTGACCCCCTGCCCGCATCTCAAGGGTCTAGGCCAAGCAGGCGCTGACAAGGAAGAGAAGGGGCCCTTCTGGGCCAGGCCCCCTAGCCTGGCATAGTGCCTGCTGGGAAGGAGGGGCCTAGAGGCCCAACCCTTGTCAGCATCCCGGCCGGCACTTCGGAGGCAATTAGCAGCCCAGCTGAGCTAATCCCCCGCCTGGCGAGGCCAACACAAACAGGCCCAGGCCGGGTGCACACTCGCCTGCCTGTTTGCTGAGGGGCCCGGTGGTCCGCCAAGAACAACACCAATAACCCGGGGCCTTCTCTAGGTTAAGAGGAGGACCGAGGCTTGCTGAAGAGCTGACCATGCCCAACAGGCATACTCTGGCCAAGCGCCCTGACTGCCCCAGAAAGGCAGCCACTGTTCCCAAGCCTTGGGCCAGCCAGGAAGAGGAAGCTGGACACAAGGAGCCATATACTCTGATTTAGTACCCACCCCCACCCCCACCCACGCCACCTGTGAGGGAGAAGAGCCAGCTCAGGCTTGTGCTGCCTTGACCATCCCAACAATCGAGGTCAGAAGGGCCTGAGCCCTCTGGTCAGAACCCAAGGATTACAGGCTCCATGCTGGACACAGGAGCCCAAAGGCAATTCAGATCTGGGCCCTGCCTTCAAGGGGTTCACAGTACAGCAAGAGAACAGACCATGGATGACTTTGGAGCAGGACCAGACTCTACTCCCATCAGCAACTACCTGCCCCCAGGTAGAAAGACTATGGTAGAATCTCCACAACTGAGAAGGCAAAGGGGGCCCAGGAGAAGAAACAGAGGCCCAGAGATTGATAAATGGGGGAGATGGTGCAGAGAGGCAGGAGGGAATCAGAACAAACTTTGGCACAGACTGGTTCTAGACCAGGAAGTAACGTCTCTGCACAACCCCACAACCACTAGGAGAGCCCAAGCTCCAGACAAGGTCCCAGTCCTGCACCCCAACTTCTTGATTCCAGCTAAATTCTACCTTCCTCAGCCCTCAACCAGGGAGCATCTCCTTTCTGAGCCAAACCCTCTACATGGTTTCTTCAACATGGTTCCTCACCTACCTAGGTACCTATAGAAACTGTAGCTGCCTTAGAGCTTCTACTTGGGGAAGTGACATGGCCTCCCTGAATGGGCCAGGCCTCTCAGGAAACTGCTGATGACAGATCTGCAACACCACCATTTACTGAGCACCTATCAACAGTGAGGTCAGGCCCACATTAATTACCACCAGCAGCATTATCCTATGTCAGGGTCACAAGCAAATAATGGAACATGAACCTATCCTGTCGGATAAACCACCCGAGAGGTAGGCGTATGATTTATACCATCCCCCACACCGTACACTTTACATTTAAGGAGACCAAGGCTCACAGCAGAGGAGACTTGCCTATGGTGGCAAATGTGTGTGTGTCACTGGGCCACTCTCCAGTCCCTCATACCTCTCCATTTTCCCTCACTCCAGTGCTGGCCTAGACCTGATGCTTCCTGGGCCAACAGGCCTCAGTGCCTTGAGCCCACCCCTCCCCAAAACGGCATTATGTGTCTCTGGCTGGGCAAAGCTCAACTTTGTCACTCTGCTGGGGACCTATACATTGTAGACAACTTTCTCTAGGGCAGAGGGTGAGGAAGGCTGGAATCACACCACTAGGGCTGACAAAGCCACAACTGGAAACAGCAGCCCTATCCACCACCCCCTGCCCTGGCTGGTGTGGCAGAAGACTTCAGGTCCAGTTCCAAGCCTGCCAGATAGGCTGTCAAGTTCCTGCCCAAAGCAGGAAGGGACTGACAATCCAGTCTGAGCTCTCCTTGGGCTGCTCCCACACCTGGCTCTAAAATATCTAGCCTGAACCAAGGTATAGATGAGTAGATGGGTCCTTTTCCCTGTTAGTTCAGCCAAAAAGGGAGGTATTTTTCAAAAAAGTATTTTACTAGGAAACTGAAGAAAAACAAACAGATCCTAAGTACGCAGAAACAAGCAGATTCCTAAGCAGGACTTTAACCAGTACCTAACCAGAACCCTGCAGGTACTACATCTCCCTTACCTCCTTCTAGACATCAGGAGACCTGGGGTCTCACTCTAGCTCCACTGCTGGCAGCCTATGAAATCTGAAGGAAGTCAGTAACCACTAAATCTCATCTGTTAACAAAAAGATGCAGATAATGGGAGAGCCAGGACCAGACCCGGTCCTAATTCAAAAGCTTTCATTCTATACAGCCTCCCTACCCCTGACATTATGGTCGTCAGAGGACCGAGTGAAACACTGAACGGGGAAGTGCTTTGTGGACTGGGAAGGGCTGTAACGGACGTTGATGGTAGTCATCAGCCAGCACCCTGACCCTTTCTTTAAGTGTGAGGGAAAGTGTGTGTGGAAGGAATGGAGATAGCACTGCAGGCTCCTGGTCCCATCAGGTTTAGATGACAGTAGAATTTGCTGGGTCTCTCTCCTTGGAGTCTTCCCATCCATCCCTCCTCCGAGCACCTCCTGCAGCCTGGGCCTCTTCCTCACCCCCTCTTGGACAGCGGCTGGAGCCACCTGGGAAGCTTCAGGAATAGCTGATGGTTATCACAGCCAGGACAGGGCGACTTGCTGCCCCTCTGATTCATCACAGAGCTGGAGTGCATCCAGAGAACTGACCAAGAGGATCCAGGGCTGCTGCTATGAATTCAGGCTGTTTCAGTCGGGAAAGAGGCTAAGAGAGGGCAGCTCAATCACTCAAATAGAAAGAGATGAGGAGAGGGGACTTTAGACTCACTCCTCAAAAGAACAGGCCGGCGCAGTGGAGGAAGTCTGAGAGCTGAAGT